CACTTGAAAAATGTCATTATCAGTATTTTTATCATCCCAAATCACACAAGAAAAATTCAAAAAAGGAAAAGTGAATAACCAATATCAATGCAATGAAATATAAAGAAAAATGTAAACAAGTTTTGAGCAACTTACTTGTGAACTAAGAACTTCTGAATGAACAATTTGATTGCTGAGGCACCAAAGTGCACGTGTACAAAGACTTTTGTTTTCAGTATGCAATATACTTTTGCACAGTCCTTGTATAATATTCTCACACTCTTTCTCAGACAAACTACTGCAAAAAAAGAGAGAGGAAGAGAGGTAAAATGTTTACTCTATCAAGATTTAATGACAATTACTATTTACAATATGTTTAGAAGCGAGAAAGTGTGTGTGTGTGTGCGCATGACAAAAACACAGCACATAAGGTAATAAAATTTCATTACGTATTACATTCATAGTTGCAATTATTTTCTGCAAACTTTAACAAGTGTTACTTATAATTAATTGTAATGGAATTATATTAAAAACAAAATATAATTATTCTATCCTTGCTTGACTCAAAACATGAAAAATGTTGACAGAAGAAAGAAAATACTTACTCAACAATGATTCTGCTGTGTATACACAATCCCAATACAAAATGTAAAGATAAACAAAAATTCTGGAATATGTATCACAAAAAAAAAATTGAGACCAAATTTATAAATTTTGCAATTTCTAATAAAGTCTGGAGTGGCATCATCATCTATTCTTAATATGCTTTAAAAAAAAAAAAAAAAAAAAGGTCATCACAACAGGTCACTTGGAATACAGTTTTACTCAATAGTTTTTCATGAAATAAACAAATACAGAAAGCCCATTGGCTGAAACAAAGCATTCTGTTTAAAAAGATAGAAGATCACTATATTCAAACGAGGATTGGACATAACAACTGCTCAATAAAAGCTAATGATGATCAGAAACTTATAATACTTTCTTGATGTTGCATTTCATAAATTGAGGGGGTTTTTTTCATTTAAAAAAAAAAAAAAAAAGAACAT